AGTCCCAATACCTTCAGGGTCAAAACTGCAAACGCATGCATTGGATCATTGTTGTCATGGAGAAGAACCTTTTACATCTTGCTAAATACAGTCAAAAGTCGTTAATCCGGACTCGTCGGGACTTCGGCGATTCCGGATTATCGATTTTTCCGGATTATAGATCATCAGTTTAAATCTCGTAAGATGGCATGCAGAAATTCTAAAATTAAAAATATGAAACCGTAATTTATGAAATAAAGAACAATTATGATCTAAAGGGTATCAGAATTTGCAAAAAGAAAAAGCTTAATATTTATTTGTTTACTTTATTAAACATTTCTTTCATGTAAGTTGTTTTAAGTTGCTTCATTTCATGTGATAATACTTTCTCTTTAATTCTATTAAACAGACATAATTTCTTGTTTAGTTACAAAGTTACGCTGTTCAAGTCCTATAATTGCTGTGTCGAGAACACCGACTAATTTGTCAATCGAAATTTTTTCGTTTTCACTAACCTCTGTCACTTTCTTCGCTATCGGAAGCGAATTATAATGACGAGGAATTTGTTTTAAATCATATCAAAGACGGAGCACATCGAGATGAAATACTAATTTGGTAAGGAATTATAAGCCAAATAAAATAAAAACATCTGCGCTGAAGATAAGGATAGTGCTGACAAATCAACTTCCAATTCATTAGGCGCCCGCCGCCGAGCAGCGTGAAATTGATAAACAGATTTCAGATTTCAAAACATACTTTCGCTTTAGATCCTTTACATATTAACAAATATATATCGGAAATTCTATTTGATATAATCGAAAGTTTAAGCTTACTTTTATAAAATTGCTCTTACAGTCTGCAAAAAATAATAAGCCGGATTGCAATTCGAAAATTAAGGAACAACGCAATCATCAACATGAACTGAAATAGATAATTAGATAATTTTAGCTTATAAGTCCATTATACATAAAATGCGCACGCGAAAACGTATTCTGCACTTGCGCACACTCATATGCGCAGTCGTAAAAGGTCTTACGCGCACGCGTGAACGCCTCTGCGCATGTGTCAACGTGGCGCATGCGCAGAAAGTTTTTAGTTTTGATGTCCGGATTATAGATCATTCCGAATTATGGGTGTCCGAATTAACGACTTTTGACTGTATAGCTTTCTTTTCATAAATGTAGATGCAAACAGTCCGGTAAAAATAAGTAGCATTCTTTGACAATTCTTTTGCACTACTCTAAATAACCAAGAAAGCTTATATCTTGAGCATTCTACAAAACAGTGATCATAACCATTTCTGTTGATGAAACAGTTTTCATTTTTATTTCAGTGCAGGCTAATGTGCTTGATGTAAGTGATTTTTGCAAGTTATTTCCTTTAAAGATGGTAGAAGTGTAACCATATTTCATTAACTGCTATGCAATGAAACAAAAATTTACCTAAATTTTTAAGAACAATTCTACACTTTGCTTAGATATATTCACTTATTTATGTGTTTACTTGGTCATTAAACACACTATTAATCTTGAGGACAGTTTTGACTAGGTCATGTGAAATACTATATATGCAGTCAAGACTTACTACAGTTTTTCAAGTTTTGTGTGCTTTTATTCACCCATCATTCATCACTATATCATGAACATTTTCAAAGATTTCTTTGCTTAATCGTGCCAACAAGAGAACTATAATCTTCAATATCACTTGCCTTAATTCAATCGCAGAAAATTTAATGTGCCACCAAACCAATATAATGGTTAGTTTTGCTGACTGCCATGCCGAAGGAACAGGGTTTGAATCCCGGAGAAGGCATGGATGTTTGTCAATGTATAGTGTCAGTGCGGCATGGCGCTATTTGGTGAACGAAGGTCCTCTCATGTGGTTTAGTGGAAGCAACAGGAGTGGGACATCTTTGGACCCATATCCCCAGAATGCTCTACATGAAATTTGAGGGTGGAACTGAGCTAAATTGGTCTGTTACCTGAAAGGTGCTCAAGCTGTTGCTAACGGCAGGCATATTCTAGTGCTTCTTGCCACAAGGAATTTTGTGGGCTTGGGCTGACTATACCAGACAAGTGATCATAACCAACAGCAGCATATCCCATGCACTTGTAAATTGTTCTAACTGAAATTTAGACTTGTTATCAAGACCTAATTTAGTTTTTGCTACTAATTTTTCTCTTAATAATATTTTAACATCTTGAAGAACTTGTCTTCTTTATCATGTAAGCAATAACAACGGCTGGCCAACTGAAAGAGCTCTTAATCACAGATTATATACAGAATAGATTTACAATTCGATACATGTGACTTCAAATCAAGAATGAGAGCATGAATCCTCTCATTGCAATGGTACCATCTCTCAGATTTTGCAGACTTATAGAAAAAATTACATATATAAGGTAAATATTTTATATTTTACATATTATACATATATATTAATTATATGTAAAATATAAATTATCTATCTTTCTAATAATAAATCAACAATAGAACTTTAACTCCTCTTTTAAATTTGAGCATGCTCCCATCTTCACTGCCTCACATCTTCACAGCAATAACTTTTCTAACATAATGTTTACTTCCTGTAATTCTGAAAAGTGATCTATCATTTACACTGGTGTGCAAAAATTAAGGACGAAGTCGAAAAATTAGCATATCAGCTGAACGAAGAGGCAGAGCGGACAGAAAGACCAATCAGGAGATTAAGTAAGGTGATGTACGGTAGCACATGCGCAGATATGCAGGTAGATGTAATGGGGGAGTGTCTGAGTAGTATAAAGCATGTTGTCAGTGTAAGATCAGTATTTCTGGCAAAGAGATTGCATGCCGTATAGCAGTTAAAATCACACCGAATTGCTGCCTCAGTGAGAAATGGCGAATAATCAATCTGTTAGACGACATCTGGATGCTTTTACCCAAGGTCAAATCATTGGGAAGTTGGAGGAAGGCCGCAGTGTGACAAGTGTGGCTGGAGAGTTCGGAATTGCTCACCAGCATCGTTTCACGACTTTGGAGACAATTTCAAACTACAGGAACAGCTATCCGGGGGTTTAGTAGTGGTCGTCCACGAGGAACCACACCCGCAGATGACCGGTATATTGCCTTACAGGCCAGAAGAAACACTCGGCAGACAGTGGGAGAAATTGCTAGACACACGACAGAGGCGAGAGGACGACCGATATCGCGTTTTAACGTGGCCAGAAGACTGCACAGTGGTGGTCTGTTTGCATGACGCCCTGTACGGTGTGTATCTCTAACGCCTGCCCATCTTAGAAGGCGTTCTCTGTGGTGCCGGGAACACCGGAATTGGAGAGACAATAAATGGGAACGAGTACTCTTTACAGATGAAAGCAGATTCAGTCTGAGTAGCGATTCTCATCGCATACTCATCTGGAGAGAGTGGGGAAGCCGCAATCAACCCTCGAACATCATTGAAAGGGACAGGTATGGAGGTGGCGGTGTTCTCGTTTGGGGAGGCATCATGCTTGGTAGTCGTACAGACCTTCACATCTTCGACGCAGGTTCAGTCAACGGGACCCGTTATTGTAACGAGATTCTTCTTCCATATGTGCATCTTTTTAGAGGTGCTATGGGTCCGCAGTTCCTTTTCATGGACAACAATGCACCATGTCATCGCATAGTAGCTGCTGAACAGTTCTTAGAGAATGAGGATATTGAAAGTATGGATTGGCCAGCACGATCTCTGGATCTCAATCCCATCAAGCATGTATGGGATTTTCTAGGCAGACACTTGGCAGCTCGTACCTTACCACCAGTAACGATTCTGGAGCTTCAATTGGCGCTGCAAGACGAATGGGCAGCAATGCGTCAACAACTCATTGACATCCACATTCTCAGCATGGGCAGACGCTGTGAAACCTGCCTAGCAGTCAGGGGAGATCATATCCCCTATTAAGACCGGATGTTTCTTGCTGGACACCCATCACAGGGATGTTTCGGCTTCACTCGCATTGCGCTCCATGCTACTTTTTCATAAAGCTTCTTTTTTATCCCTCTGATTTCTCTTTTAGTAAGTGTTGCCTTACATTACTCATGTCCTTATGTATTGGGGATCTTACGGTATTAAATGTGTTGATTTGGAAAGCTTTTGTACAAAGTTATATTGAAAAAACCATCTCGTACTTAATTTTTGCACACCAGTGTAATTTATATCATATAATTATTACTGGAATGTGATAAAATCTTAACCCAGCATCCGAATATTAATCTGTTATATGACTAAAATTATATATCTGAAATCTAATTAAATAATTATGCATCTGAAATTTAATTCACTTAATGTAAGCATTCTTCTAATGTGATCCAAGATGTTATATATTTAATGTAATCATGCCTTGGTATAAAAGATCTTTGCTTTACAATCTCACACTTTTTTGTTTGCTTTTCTTTGCTCTCTTCTGCTCAGCTGTAGCAACATTATGCTGCCTTTAAAAAAAAAAAAAGAATTCAAGTTTATCCAAGGTAAAACATTATTAGATACTACAGATTATTTTAACTAAGAAATATCGTTATGTATCCCTATTAAGAATAGCCTTCTAATATGCTAGCTTAGCATCAAGATTCAAAATCAGACAATAAAAGGAGAATAATAACTCATGAATAAAAAAAATGGATAAAATATATATTAAAATATTCAGTCAGTCACATCAGAAAATAAATTATTCACTATGCATATAAAAAGGATTACACCTTTTCTGTTTTCTCAGTTGGTTATTTAAGCTGTTGTTCAATAACTCTAGCACAAAATTTCAACACTTCTTTTGGGTTTTTTTACCCCCTTCATGCTAATTTAATAAAAGCCAATTAAAAATTTTGTTGGCTTCTAGTACTTAATGTCTCTTACATGACTTTTTTATACTAATAATATTTTGATGTTTATCAAAATGTTTATAATATATGAAGTACCAATGATTCAGTACATCAGAAGATAATGTATAACTGAAATGTAACTTGTATAATTCACATGTGCAAATGAAGTAAGAGTAAAGAACACTTACATTTGTCAGTATTAATCTGGACAAAGGCAGTGATGATAGAAAATAAAGCAAACATGACGAATAATGGTGCAATGACACGAAGCATCTTAGAAAATCTTGTGAATATGGAAGAAAAATATACTTTAACAAAACATTTAACAATATATGAACAATCAATCTACTATTACAAAAAAGTATTTTATTAAATAAATATAAAAGTAAAGCATAAAAAGAAATCTAAATACATATATATATAAGATTATATAGTGCAGGGTCATTTAACATATTGGCAATACGCCACAGTTCTGGCACACCAAAGATCTCAGTTTGACCTTTCAACTACTATTCAAAATTTAAAAAATAATTCAAGGGTTTGAATGAAAATAAAACTTGTAGGGGGGGGTATCTTCAGAAGTAAAGAAAAATTTTAGCAAAAGTATAGAAAATTCATTTTTAATCATAAGTAGGATTATTGGCTAAAAATACAGCACTTTTACCAAATAAGGGCAATGACAAAAAAAAAATTTCACTGTAGTTACTGATTTCTCAGCTTAAAACATTCCCTAAATCAGAAATCTGAGCTTTATTCATTTAAATATATGAAAGGGTTGAATGGTATCTTTCAACAAGCATCACTACAATGTATCCAGTAGATATAACATGAAAATTCAGGAAGGTAATCAAAGTGTCATGCTACGCAGCATGCACAAGTTTTCATGCAGAACTAAAAAAAGTGTGCATGCTTATGCAACTGATTACAAATAAAGTTGCCCATTTCACTATCCTATCAACAAGGCAATCTGAGAAAAAGTATTTCAAACTCAGTTAGCAATCAATTTTAAAAAATGAAGAGAGTTTCCATGGAACATGATCATTTAACATTTTGCAGAAATCATAACTCAAATTCATATCAGAAAATATTCTTTGATTTGCTAGCAGCAAATACTGTTTGCTTTTTTCAATGATGAAATATATATATATATATATTTAAAAAAATCAAGCTACCATATGATACACAAATATCTTTCCAGAACTCCACACATTACTGCATCAGTAAATGTACAAACACTTACTACTTGAAAAGCAAGAGGCAATGCCATACTTTAGGCACATTTAATGAAAACCGGGTTTAACAAAAAGAACAAACTACTCATAAATATAATTTTATATGATATTACTATTTATGTGTACATTTATAATGTTTAATTTTAGGACCCATTTATATATATATTTTATTTTCTCATATCGATTAGGGGGAAATGAGGTACTAGACTAATGTGTAAATTAATAACATTTCTTTTTCTACTGTTTTTTGCTAATAGTTGAACTTGCTATTTTATTGAATGCATTTTATTGAATATTTAACTTTTATACATGCATTTACACATAAGAGACATGTAGAGTTCCTTTCATTATTATTAATTTATTTTTAAAAAGGCTCTTTTTAGGAAATGGTTCAGTAATCCTGATAAGTTCTTACTAGTGAGTTTTTATTATTGATGTAAATTCTACAAAATACAATGGTTAATCAGAAATATATTAAAATTTCTTATTTCTCATTAGTGTACTTTAATAGCAATAATTCCAATCACTTTCATATTAAAAAACATCATATAAACTGCAAGAAACTTTTAAAAAATTATCACTGCCTAATCAATTCAGAATACCAGTAACAGTATTTTTTTCTTTTAAACTGCTTTTTTTTTCCAGTGCGAGCAATCATGCCTTTTGACATGACAATGCACAGCAAGTTGGATATTAAATCAAATTTTATACTTTTTCACACATTAAAATAGATATCCCAAAATACAAACATTCTGGACAAAATACCTTTTATTTTCCAGTTTTCAATTGGTAGGCACCAGTACTACCTTTTATCTCATATAATCAGGTGCCATATTTAAAATCTTGCACCATGTATTTAATTATGGAAAATATGTGGGGGATATCTGTTTAGAATAGTATGCCTTCATGGACGGCTTTATGGATTCATATTTACGCAAAATATAAGCATCAAAATGGTCAAACTTTTCTGCAAGCATAATACTTTTTAACATTGTCATTATAATATGTTTATTTTATATTTATTATTTTAAACATTACTAATGTTATGCACTACAGTTACTTTTGTACAATAAATAGAAAACTTCAAATGATTAAATCAAACACTTCAAAATTATTGATATACAAATAGACTCCATTTTATGAGTACAACAGCTTTTAATGCTTAGAATTTTGTGCAGTAAATCTAAATAATTTTCAAAGTCTTCCTGATGTTCATAATAAATAATATCTTCATAAAAATTTCCAAACAGAAATTTTCTTATATTTACTGTATACATTGGTTATTATAGAACAAGCCTGGGGAGGGAATCCACTAGATTTTCATAATAATGTAAATGATTAGATATGAACTTTTCTATTCATAAGTAGTTCATTTTTTAAACATTAACAAATTTATTCAACATAATTTGCATTCATATCATTATAAAATCTATTTCAACAATTTTACATTTTTTAAATCACAAAAAGAATTAAAAATTCCTACCTATTATTATAAAACATACAAAGTATAAGAAATAAAACATAAGGCACATTATTTGACATTGTCAAATAACTAGTAAATGCAGCTTGAAGGTCCGTTTTATTCTGAAGATTAGTGCAACTTCCATTTGAAGTACTACGGAACTTGTACATCCAATACTAAAATTTAAAATAATAACAATAATGATCACAGATCTGAATTATTTAATCAATAAAAAATAATAAAATAATAATTTTAAGAATTCAGCATACAAATTAATTGCTTAGACTTTCAATGGCATAAAAAACTTTTCATTAAAGTATTGAGGGAGAATTTATTAAAACATAATAAATATGAAATTTTAAACCGATAACTTATAATATATAATAAATTAAATAAAAGATATGAATTTAATGGCCCATTTTCAAATTTTGCTTATATATGCTGTCCCAGAGGAACAGAAAGAAAATTCAAGATAACTTAATATTTAAAGTTTAATTTGAGCAATGTAACATCTGTTGTGCCGCAACAACAGTAAAGGTGGGTCCTTACATTGACCATTTCCATGCAGGATGGTGTGCCCCCACATATCCATGGGTCCGTAAAGATGCTATTGCCCCAACACTTCACAGAGGAGCGTGTTATAAGTCGCTCCTATCCATGGCCACTACGTCTGCCGGATCTAACTCCGTATGATTTCTGATTATGGGGCTACTTAAAAAGTCTGGTGTATCATGGAGTTGTTGCAATGTTGAATGACTTAAAGAACACCATACCTCTTTATGTACGAAGCTTCACAGCTGATCAGTTCCGATCTACTGTTGAAAACACTGTCCATCAACTTAAAATTTTGCAGGTGAATGAGGATAGTCACGTAGAGCATTTTTCCTTACATCGTTCTAGACACGATTAACAACTCTTCCTTTTGTGCAATTTTGACCTAATCTGTTCTTGTTTCTGCAAACTGAACTGTTTTTGTTTCTCCCTTACCTTTACTTAATGTGGTTTGATGACAAGGTGATCAGAAACTAGACAAAAAATGTTAATATTGTTTCTGTATTCCATTTTGGTTGTTTAATTGTGTTAAATTTCATGTTTTTCCTTAAAAAAAAAAAAAAAAAAAAAAAAACTGTAGTGTACAGTTTGGAACTAAAATTTTTTTCCAGAAATTCCATGAGCGCATCTTATGTATAGCCCATATGCTAAACTTTGTTGCATTCCGTTCACACATTGGAGCTCTAGGATGCCATTTATAGGGGAAGATTATTTATAACCACCTGGTACTTCTTTCTAGCAACAACATAACAATTCTGCCTCTCTTGCAACAATCTGCAAGGTTAATTTCTAAATCTGGTCAGCAAGCTATCTCTCTCATCACAGAACACTTTGTCATTGGCATTTTTTAATAGGATCTTCATTCTTTCTCCAATCTCTAACCATCTTCTCTGTTATATTGAAAGCATTTGCTGCAGCACAGTTGTCCGATTTTTTAGCCTGTTTTATGACTTTAAACTTGAAGCTTGTTTCATATTTCCTTCTTTTCACTGGTTCCAAGATTAGGCCCACACTTAACAAATTTTACACTGATTACACTTAACAGTACAAATTGTTTGAACACCCAATATAATTTACAACAAAATTTGCTACAGATACATGCGAGTTCATGATTCAGCATATGCTTCTACAGGCTATGCTGTCAGATGCAAGAAAATAAACATGTTAGAAGTACACTGTAGTTCATGATTTGAAACATGCTTCTATAGACAGTACTGTCAGATACAGGAAAATAAAATTTGTTCCAGATGATGATTTAAATTAAATTTATAGGCCATTGATAGCCTGGGGATCATTTTATAGGACACATACATGTCAAAACTGTAAAACATTAACAAAAATTTATACCTTTTCTTATCTACAAAAATATACAGTAATTAATGTTTCATGGGTTTTAGTCTGGATATTTTAGTTATGAATCTACTATTTAGTACAGAGATGTTCTTGCATTCACATTGCCCATTAACAGACATAAATAAATATCAGAAGCATAAGGAAGATAAAAAGCACACAAGTGCCAAAACAGGCATAATATATTATGAATGAAATAATAAATAATAATAAAATACATGGACAATAATACATGTTTAAGGTTATTTGAATACGCAAAGCCCAGGAGAGGTATTTGTCTAGAGGGAAGAATACTTTAATGGTAGACTTTCTAAGGGAAACTGATTCATATTCATATTGCACATGGGGAAAACCACCCATGCAGCTAGCCCATTTGCCTAGAGTTGAACTCCTAGCATTCAGCAGTCTTAATGGGAAAATACAGTCAAAAGTCGTTAATTCGGACACCCATAATTCGGAATGTTCTATAATCGAGACCTCAAAACTAAAAACTTTCTGCGCATGCGCCGCGTTGACACATGCGCATAGGTGTTTACGCGTGCGCGTAAGACCTTTTACGACTGCGCATATGAGTGTGCGCAAGTGCAGAATACGTTTTCGCGTGCGCGTTTTATGTATAATGGACGTATAAGCTAAAATTATTTAATTATCTATTTCAGTTAATGTTGATGATTGCGTTGTTCCTTAATTTTCGAATTGGATCCGGCTTATTATTTTTTGCAGACTGTAATGCAATTTTATAAAAGTAAGCTTAAACTTTCGATTATATCAAATAGAATTTCCCATATATATTTGTTAATATGTAAAGGATCTAAAGCGAAAGTATGTTTTGAAATCCGAAATCTGTTTATCAATTTCACGCTGCTCAGCGGGGGAACGCCGCCCGGCGTAATGAATTGGAAGTTGATCTGTCAACACTATCCTTATCTTCAGGGCAGATGTTTTTATTTTATTTGGCTTATAATTCCTTACCAAATTAGTATTTCATCTCGATGTGCTCGTCTTTGATATGATTTAAAACAAATTCCTCGTCATTATAATTCGCTTCCGATAGCGAAGAAAGTGACAGAGGTTAGTGAAAACGAAAAAATTTCGATTGACAAATTAGTCGGTGTTCTCGACACAGCAATTATAGGACTTGAACAGCGTAACTTTGTAACTAAACAAGAAATTATGTCTGTTTAATAGAATTAAAGAGAAAGTATTATCACATGAAACGAAGCAACTTAAACAACTTACATTGAAAGAAATGTTTAATAAAGTAAACAAATAAATATTAAGCTTTTTCTTTTTGCAAATTCTGATACCCTTTAGATCATAATTGTTCTTTATTTCATAAATTACGGTTTCATATTTTTAATTTTAGAATTTCTGCATGCCATCTTACGAGATTTAAACTGATGATCTATAATCCGGAAAAATCGATAATCCGGAATCGCCGAAGTCCCGACGAGTCCGGATTAACGACTTTTGACTGTAATATGTATAACATTAGCATTTAGTTAAATTTAAAAATTTTGAAACTGCATATAATATAACCAATTCTATTCCTGAAACAATGACTATAATATGGAAAATGTATTTAAAACATTCTTACATCATTTGCTGTGATAAAAAAATTCCACGGGAGAAGTGTTCCAATACCTAAAAGGCCAAATGTCAGAAATACTAGTTTATATCTGGAAAAAAAAAAAAAGGGGACAATTTTAATTTCAGTATGGTATAACTTTGATGACATGACATAAAATTATTTTGTTTTCAAAAAGAGATAAAGAACATAGCTTTTTTCTGTAAATCTATACTACTTTAGTTACTGTACTTCCTTAGAAAGAGCAACAAAATTGGCAAAAGATTGCCACATTGTTTTCTCAGGAATAGATAACCTTCTGAGAAGAAAATGGATTGTCTTCTTCAGAATGTGATCCAGACATCAGGTTGTGGAGAAGTTAAAATTTTATCACAAGTACAGAATGAGTATTACAAAAAAATAATAAACTGCTTTACAGAGCTTGGCATTTATTGGAGAAGTGAACACAAAAATTTCTTATAATATATATGGAGTTGGAAAATATTCAATCTTGATAATGTTTTTACGATTACTATAATAGAAAGTTTTCGCTAGCAGAAGATCAGAAAAGCTGATGAAAAATTGAAGTTTACTTTTAATTGCTATTTTTATTTTTTATTTTTAATGACAGCTAATGCAGCTGGACTTGTGCGACCAGTATGGATTAAGAAGATTAAAGACATGAAGATCTATACTTTCCGACAAGCTAACCTGAGAAAACACATACAAGGCTAGAATGACCTTTTCATGGCTTTTCACCCTGTTCTTCATCCATATGCACCAAACCGCCTGCAGAAATTCAATTCCTCCAATTCGCTGCACATTTGGCGACTTCTTGCGACTTCCAGCATATTTTTAAGTAACAATCTTTTTATGCGATGAAGGTGCAGTTGAAATTGTTAGTTCATTGTAGTGTAAAATGTAGGGCATGTTATTGTCTTAATTTATATGAAATTTTTCACTATAATCTAAATATGACGCATACGAATTTGATGACATTTAAAACCTGAATCATTACTTAAAACTTGAAACGGAAGAGCTAACAATGTACTCCTTGTAGTTTGGGTTAAACTTTTTCCCAAGACCGTTCGCTTAGTCAAAAGTAAAATATATAAATTTAGAAAATCTGGTAGACGTTATTTTCTCTTAATTTTTAAGAGTTTACACAGTTTATTGCTTTCAAAACAGTCAACCAGAGAAAATGCCGATTTTTTTTTTTTCTAAAGATGTTAATTTGATTTTAATTTCCAATTATTTAAAAAATCTGATTATATTTTATAACAGACATCAATAAAAATTATATCCTGTATTGTCTCCTAAGAAACATACTCTTCCAGTCATGCACAGACAATCACTCTCCTACAGTACGTCTTATCCTATCTTTTTTATTACTGTTTAAAATCAAAAATAAAATAAATAAAAATACTGGAAACTGAGATTTTTGGATTACAGACTAACAGCTAAAGAGTTTACCATTAAAAATTTCAAGATATTAGAAAAGTATTAAAAACTTTAAAATTGTAAACAAACATAAAAATTATAATGTAAGCGATCTTATATCAATTAGTTTGTACCAATCAGTTAAAAATATAACATTAGAAATGTCTTTTGTTAGTTATAACAAAGTGCAAATGTTCATATGAACTACAAAATTATAAAAAAATTAAACTTTAATGTAATGACTGTAAGCTCTGCATTGGAGTATCTCAGTGTATTATATAAAAGAAGTCCTTTACCCTTATAAAATCTCCCCGAAGACGTCTCATCCTTTAGACAGAAATCCTTGTTCCTTCTACCATAGTTAACTTAATTGATCAGTACTTCCGTATTGGTTAGGTTAGGTGATTTGAATATGGCAAAGCACACAAGAGCTATCTGACTAAGGGGTGAGATATATTCATGGAGGACTTTCTAAACGAACAGGCTCGTCCGCCTATACTATACAAGTCTAAATTGTGGAAGCGATGATTTGCACTTGTGTACTACTTAGGAAGAAAAAGAAATGGGGAAAAAAGATTATCAACTAATCTACATTTTTTGTAAATAATTAGCTGTGAAAGAAAAATTAGAAATAAAATAATTCAGTTTTGGAAATTTTTTTACATAGGCAATATATCTTTTATTATTTGGTATGTGCTTTAATTATTATATTTAAAAAACATGTATATGGCAAAATGTAACATTTCAAATCTTATATAATTAATTAGCTTTTTCAAGAAAACCCCTTTTTTTTTTAATACTTACAAAATTTTAATATGTTTACTACCAGAATATAAAGAAGTTAAAAATTTAATTTTTATGTAATTTGGAATACTTTGTTTGTGATATAATGTAATAATTATGATAAATAAGCATTTATACAACGGTGAAAGGCACACTTATGTTAACATTCTCTACATTTTGAAAATGATGACTGCAAGCAGCTCATTACTGACTATTTTGATTAAGCCTTCTGCAATCCTGATCATTTTAATTTCTAATTTATATATTAATGTGTGCAGTTTTCTCGCATTTCAGATTGAGATTTTACAAACAATTTCATCATCTGTGCTTTTATAGCAGGATCTATAGGTAAAGTTAAACAAAAGATAAGCAGATCTCTTATAAATTGGAGGAGGGAAAAGGGGGCATATACGAACACAAAAGTAACTTAAAAAATGACTTTCTACTGAAACAAATCATCCAAATTCACAAATTGTAATATGATTCTTTATCTATATAAAGTACTGCTCAACATAATATATTTATACCATTGTTGAATTTAACTTTCATAACCACTTTAGAATAGCTTAAAAGTTTATTTGATAACCTTTGGTATCTTCAAGGTCTAAAACATATTTATAATGCTGACAAAATTGGCCTTTCATGGCAATACAAGACCCAAAATACTTAATAATTTTCAGATGAATTCTTCACAATAATTACCAACAAAAAGTTATCTCAAGGAAAAAATTATAATACTGGCAAAACAGGTCTTTTCTGGCAACATGGGACTCGAAATACTTTGGTAGTGCATGAAAGGTTGTAAATGGTGTCAAAGATTACAAAGAGAGACTAATGACTTTATGCATATGCTGCATGAGATTCTCATTATTTGAAAAAATACACAACATTGGACATTTCAAGAAGTAGAGATTTTTCCCATCATTCCAATATAAAGCACAGATGACAAAAAAATCAATTCATACTCAAGGCTCAGAAATGTTTGTTTGCCAGACAATAAGAAAATTGTCCTGATTATAAACAAATCTTCATCTTGTACTTCACTTAAAGTTTCAATAAAAAATAACATCTCAATCTTACTGCTTCATGCATTACTCAGCCAATGGATATCTTACTACTGTGTACAGAGAAATGCATATATAAAGTTGACTTTTTAAAATACAGTCAAAAGTCGTTAATTCGGACACCCATAATCCGGAATGATCTATAATCCAGACCTCAAAGCTAAAAACGTTCTGCGCATGCGCCGCGTTGACACATGTGCATAGGCGTTTACGCGTGCGTGTAAGACCTTTACGACTGCGCATATGCGGGTGCGCAAGCGCAGAATACGTTTTCGCGTGCGTGTTTTATGTATAACGGACGGTATAAGCTAAAATTATCTAATTATCTATTTCAGTTAATGTTGATGATTGCATTGTTCCTTAATCTTCGAACTGGATCCGGCTTATTATTTTTTGCAGACTTTTAAGAGCAATTTTATAAAAGTAAACTTAAACTTTTGATTATGTCAAATAGAATTTCCAATGCTGGAGCTCCCAAAGGATCTACAAAACGAAAGTATGTTTCGATGTCCATCAAACAAAAAGTGGAATTGCTGCAAAAAATGGATAAAGATATGAAGAAGGTAACAGAGAGGTTAGTGAAAACGAAAAAATTTCGATTGACAAGTTAGTCGGTATTCTCGGCACAGCAATTACGGAACTTGAACAGCGGAACTTTGTAACTAAACAAGAAATTATGTCTGTTTATAGAATTAAAGAGAAAGTATTATCACATAAAACGAAGCAACTTAAACAACTTACATTAAAAGAAATGTTTAATAAAGTAAACAAATAAATATTAAGCTTTTTTTTTTTGTAAATTTTGATACCCTTTAGATCATAATTGTTCTTTATTTCATAAAATACAGTTTCATATTTTTAATTTTAGAATTTCTGCATGCCATCTTACGAGATTTAAACTGATGATCTATAATCCAGAAAAATCAATAATCCAGAATCGCCGAAGTCCCGACGAGTCCGGATTAATGACTTTTGACTGTATATGCTAATTTTTTTAATGGCAAGAACATTCAAGAATATAAAAAATATTTTAACATAAAATTTGTTGATTAGAGCACTGCAAAGTCTGGAAGAATGCATCTGCAGATTATTTTTTTTAAATACTCCAATTAGTCACTAACGGTCAGCAAAATCCATAATACTGTTTTTAAATCCAGAAAATACTGTTACTGATAGTGAACATGATAAAAAGGTTGTTGAGAATTAACAGGTTTTGACTGACAGTTTAATGGAAATTCTCAATAAGGCAATTATAAATTTGAACTGTATCCTTTCTAACTCTCTCCTCTAAAATTTAGAAAATTTATAATTAGGTTATATCTCTCAAATTTAGAAAAAAAAGTATTAGCACAGAAAAAAAAAAAAAAAAAAAAAAAAAAAAAGCAGGGAAAGAACAAACACCTTAACTTACATTAAAATACATGCCTGATTAAAAAAAAAAAAAAAAAAAAAAACTTTTTCTTGTAAATTTTGATTTTTCTTAGTCATAAACAACTATTTCATGTTTATAATTTTTTCTTGTCATCATGCTAGGTTTAAAATGATGATTTAAAATCCAGAATCTTCGAAATCCTGAAAATTCTAAATCACAAACTTTGTAATAAAACATACGTGTAATATTTTCCAAACTATTAAAATATATTCTCAAATTTTTCTGACAAAATGGTAAACAATGTTGCATGTCATTTATTTAATTTTGTTCCAATAAAAGCTTAAAAACAAATTAAGTTGTTTTTAATGTGACATTGCTACAATTTATAAATCATTTTTAATGTATCAATCACCTTTGACTTTAAGGTTAAAGTTCAGTTCATTTAATCAAGTA